AGCACACGCTATTTAAATATCCCTGATTTACATGACTTTCTAGAAGCAATAATAAAAAAGTGTTTTATGGCTGCAAAGTACTGAGAAAAAATATATAATTCAAAAACTAGTTTATTACACGGCTAAAATAAAATATGCTTTAATTAGATAATATATCAAAAGAATATTCTCATTATGTATATCTTCTTATGTGATAATAGGCAGCAGTTGTAGTAGTTGTTTTATTCAGCAGCAAAATGCACTTCCCTTTGGGAAAAAAAAATATATTACCTCTCGAGCACGACCATATTCAATGTGTCACAAATAAGTGATGGATGCTTGTATAAATTGAGCGTGAGTGATGAGTTTATGCATGGAAAAAGACAAATCATTCTCAGCTCTCATGCTGCACTTGCTCTCAACCAGTAACTTGAACAATGCACCGGTGCAACAAAGGAGCGGTTAACCGACAGTATCCGAATTCAATGTTCACAAAGCTCATGCTGAGCTCAACAATAACAACAAAAGGCGTTTTTCCTTTTAGTATCAATGACACCGCTGAATAGCAGCGCAATATGAGTGGAGATTTATGTGGTTAAATGACACTAAAAGGCTTGCTGATCATTGTTGACAGGTGGGATCAACTGAGAATTGAGTACAAAAAAAAAAAAAGATGCATAGCATGCAGCATTAATGCATAAGAGAAGACACATTGTCCCTGGCATGCTGATATATAATTCTTAAAATATAAAAACAAACTAAAAGATTAAAAAAAACAAAACCACAACTTATGTACTTTGTCACTGAGTGTTTATTACACATTCAGTTCCCCTTCACTGGAAAAGACAGTTCATTTTCACTGTCATATTCATATCAAAGTTGAATCACATCATATCAAAGTTAGAAATGACAGCAGCTCTCTCTCGCTCTGTGGCTGCTGAAGGACCACAGGACAGTTTTGGCTCGCTGCATCACATCATGAGTGTCAAAACTTATTGAAGGGGAGGGAATTACTTTTTGCTTGAATCTGCAAAATGGACAGAGCAGGAAAATAACGCTTACCTGCACATAATTTCATGAGTAAGAAGAACTCTGCACATTTCTGGATTCTTGTCTTGACCCTCATAAACTATGGCCTTTGAAACAAAATGAGATGGAAACAAAGTGAAAACACAGCCGTCGTTTTCAACACACACATCAAGAAAACTCTTGAACTGGCAAATAATTAGGCTACTGTTTAACAAAATAAATCAGGGCATGAACACACGTGATGTTAGAGCAACACAATATAACAGATGAGACCAAATACTGAATAGGAAATGTGGTTCAAATAATCCCAGCATTCCCCTGTGCTGTAAATTATACTGATTTCTATAAACATAAATGACTGTCTAAATTTAACTATTAAAAAATGCACAAATATCAACTGCTTCTACATTTTTGTGGCAGCAATAGTAAAAATGTATATAAAAATAAAAGTAGCAATCGATATATTTAATAATAATCATAAACTGTATTTTTTATTAATCTGGATAATATGTGGCACAGACAGACAGAGGAAGAGAGAGAGGGGGGGAGACAGAGGGATTTTCATAAGGAGAGATCCAATAGAAGTGTCATCAATATGCTTATAATCTGGGGATATTTGGGGGAAAGTGTTAATGGGCAATCTGTTGTTTATTTTGAGCCGCTAACAATGATCTTTCTGTGGATAAAAAGCGGTGTCTGGCGGTACGGTTGAGTAATTTTTGAGCATTGGCTGAAACAGATGGCGTGGAGCTATCAGTTCTGCCGCTCTTCTCTCCCTCCCTCGATCCCTCCCTCCTTCTACCATTTCTAAGGATAGACACTTTACTCCCTCGTACGCTGAACCGGCACCGAGTGTAAATGCAAAGCAAAGCAACAAATTATAAAGAAAATATTGCACATAATGCCAAAAAAATCTACATATATATATATATATATATATAATAAATAAACCTGATAGGTTGCATTTAATTTTTACGTTCTGTTTGCCTAGAATGAAATTTGTATTTTTTGCCCCTGACTCTCTTTATGCCAACAGGAAAGAATGACTTTGAAAAAGTGACATATCTGAACCAGGTCGCATCACTCTCTCTCGCTTCTAAAAGCTGTCCTACTTGACCTGCTGTGTTTTTTTTTCCTCCCCTCTCTTCTTTTTTTCGGGGGAACCAGGCGATTATCTATATTGGTTTGATTTATGTGGCTATTTGCAGCTGTAGAAACAGAAATCCATAAATTGCTTGTTCTGCGTCATTGACTCGGATCATTCGCACAGGAATGTTGTCTGTGACCAGTGGTCCAGGCTTCACGGCTCTATTCAGGAGGCTCTAGCTAAATCCTCTGTTTAATAATAAAACACGATATGGAGAGACGAAAGCGTGGCGTCTAATTTTATTTTCCCTAATCATAATTAAGTTCGGTAATCTAAAATAAAAACAAAAAAAAAAAAAATACTCATAAGCATTTTGGGGGTTTATTTTTACGCTATGAAAGCCATTCACGTGTTTACACCTGAGCAGAATTTTTTAAATGTCTATTTTTATAAATATAACATTTAAAGCAATTTTTTTTTAAAAAAATGTTTAGACCGTCACTTCTGACTCTTTGCAGGAAAAGTCAAATCGGATCATATGGAGCAGAGGTAGTGTTTAAATTTTAATGCTGGACAAACTGAACCTACAAAAAAAAAAGACTCAACTCTGGCGAAGAGAAATTGACTTTAGGGTCTTGCAATATGATATGGTCAAACGTAAACAGTCAAAATGGAAGCTGTCTCTTCTGATTCCATCTGTAATTTGATTTTTATTTTGTGCCACAACTGCATTTTGCAAGAAGATTTTTTTTCTTTTTTTTTTAGAAAACCGAGAAGTGTGTCTATCTATCTCAGGGGTGACGATTTACACGCCATGTTAAGATTTTGTTTGGCTTTTTTTTAATGTTTTTTTTCCTCCCCCACTTGTGAACCGTGGACGCGAGGCAAGTTTGCACTGTGCGCAGAAACAAGTGTAACAGCAGCAGCTTACCTGCTTCGTCATGGAATCGATTAACCGTATGTAAAGATCCTGTTCTGTTCTGACGCCTGGGGAGAGAAAAAGAGGAGCACTTTTACATTTTTAAGGAATTGTGGGTAATGAGTTTATGAAAATAAATAATAATAAAACCCTCAAAAAAAGAGAAAAAAGAAAAAAAAACTTTTCATTAAAATCTAAGAGTTCAGATAGTGATTATAATTTTATATTATTATTATTATTATTATAATTATTATAATTATTATTATTATTACGTGTGGTTTTACGCACACAGACAAACTCACTGATAGATTTTCACATGTTTTTAAAAATATTAAAGACAGTTTCACTCACCGTTACTGTACAATAACTGTAGTTTGTAATGTATCCCATTGTTAGTTTTTTCACTGGTTGGTTCCTGCAGAAAACAACAGTTTGTGAAAATCAGCAATCAGAAAAACAACTGCCCATCACCACCACATGTCTATGCGTTTAAAAATAAATTCAGAGTTTTGGTGCTAAAGAAGAGAAACGGCTTTAGATGCTAAAATGACCCTCTGTCATCAAGGAATTGAATTTTTCTTTTTTCCTTTTTAAAGAAAATCAATATTACACGTGACTTCCCCTTAGTAACCCATTGCCCATTTCTGAGTACATAATTTCGATACATGTGCTGATTATGTAGAGAGGTGCATGTATTCTAAAATACACCGCTTACTTTTTCTTTCTCCACAAAGTCCACAAAAGCTGTCCTTTCGATCTCCACGGGCTGACCCTGTCTGTCATACAGCGCCAGGACGAAATGGAAAAAATTGGATTTTCTGAGGTTGGAAGGGGGCTGCTTTTCATAATGTGCCCGTGCCAAGCCGACACCGCTGCGGGGAGAAAACAAGAGACCATCTCGGTTAAGCACCGGACACCGGGGATACTAGATGATGGAGAAGCTGATGGAAACATTGGAGATGCAGAAGCACGCTTGAGTACGGGGGAGATTTCTTGATTTGTCACAATAATGGGTAATCTGATGTAATGAAAGAAGGGAAAGCCGAAGGGGGGGCATTTATTGGGAGACCGTAATTGATACAGAGTATTCAGGGGATTGAGGGGTCGATATGATGAGGAGGGAATGCGTGAGAAAAATCAGATGCTTTTTGGCATGCGTACCTTTGGGCGGCTGTGTTTGCATCCACCACCCCAGCTGTGTGCATCCAGGAGCGGACCGAGTTCAGTCCACCCAGCGGTTCCTCCTTCATCGTCGTCCCACCCCGCGGTATAGTTTCCTGAATCCCAAACATTTAGGACAATTTGCGTGAAAAAGAGCCTCCTGCGAAATTAGGAAAATAAACGTCCAAGCGTGTTATCCTTCAGGGTTTTTTTTTTCACGGGATAAGTAGCGAGAGCCGATTCAGACTTGCGAGGGAAAACCCGGTCCACAGGTCTTGCCTCCCTCTTCAGTCCGTCCGATGTGAACAATTCTCAAAGTGCTGTACTTAGTTAGAGCGGTATCCACAGACTGGAAAAGTGAATTGTTCAATAGACAAGATTTTTTTGTGTTGCTATTGTTCCTCTGTTTTTTTTTCTTTTTCTTTTTTTTGTGCTATTCACAGAAAAATCGATGGCAGTTGTTTGTGTTTGTGGGTGATGCTGCTCTCAAAGTGCCCACATCCCTGAAGCACCGCATCCAAAACCTTCAGGACTTCTTGTTGAATAAAAAACCCACTCCTGAAAAGGTGCTGCTGCTTCTCCACAAGACAAACACAGGCAAAGGCTGATCACCAGTGGAGGTGTTCCTAGTACACAGGAGAGGTGGATAAGGGGCCCTTTCGCGTCGTGCAGGATGGATGGGAACATGCAAAACTAAGCCCTCTTTCCCCGAGGACTGAAATCTTTCCCGGGAGCCAAAACTCTAAACCCACGGGAGAGGCGCTGTCAGAATATGACGCTGAAGGGGCGTGGTTTTGACCATATATGGAGCTCTGACGGTTCCTGTCAGGCAGTGGCGCTCCACTGTACGGGTACAGCCCTATAGTGCAGCAGCTTGAGAACACTCATTCGCTCCACTTTTCCTCTTGCTTAGGCCCTATATGTGGTGAGTTTGATTTTTTTAATGATATGGAAAATTCAACCGGGTGTAACCATCACACATAATGAGGAGGAAAATAATAATAATAATAAAATAATCATAATAATAATACATAACAATTATTCGGAATTCAGTGCTTATTATTTTTAGCTGGCCTACCGATTGCAATTTCCGTGATTAGTTTTATTATAATGGATTAAAATTAATAGCATTTCATATATTTATTCGATTAAATTTGTTAACACCATTACAAATTGACTTGATGAGACTGTTTGTTCACTGACGTATCGAAAGCATCTCAGTGTCTGTGAGATTAAAGGCCATAAATCATATTTCAATAAGAGCAGATTATGTTTCTTCATAAAATTGATATATATTCTATTTCGTATTGTGATCGCGTGCTGTGGGTTATGTTATTGTAATTAAGGTGTAATTAACACAACGCGGAAATCATAAAATCACACATGATTATAAATATTTTAATTTACATTAACTTTTCATTGATCATTTTTTTAACAACAGGTATTTGACTCATTTGTTTCGCTGGGGCAGTCGGGCAGATTTTTTTTTTTTTTTTTTTTTATGTTTTAGTTTTTGCGCACAAAATCCAAAAAAGGGAGCAAAGTTTGGAAATCAGACGGAGTTTTTCAGCATCTTTGTTATTAATGTCAAAACAAATCAGTCACATCGCGGTGCCATTTACTGCAGATAAAGTCAGGTCTTTTGACCTCTTTTATAGATTAAAAATCTGAGTCGGTGTCTCATGACATTAAACAAACTTCGGGAAATCCATGGTTCTATGTCTTCCGCATTTAATGCACGCCATGTACCTAATAATCAGAAACATCTTAATCATTTTTAAAGAGCCAACTGCCTACATGTCCGACTCCGTCCGAGAGGGACAAGCAAGCAATTCGGTTCATTAGTGGTGAAAGGGGGGAGAGGATGAAGGAGAGAGGGGAGGGTGCGAGGAAGAGAGATGTGTGCTATATCCTGAGCAATCTATCTAGCTGGTGCAGAGGGTTAATAGCTGCTGCCAAAGATAAGTGAATTATAAGCTGTTGCTTTCACCTCTACACAATCTATTGCCAAATTGCCCAGTTACAAAACCAGGTTGTAGATTTTTTTTTAAACTTTTTATTTTTGTTTTTATTTTTTATTTTTTTAGAGAACTCAAAGTTTAAATTTGTGGGGAGGGGAGGATATGAGAATGAAATCAAATGGGTGCTCTTTGTTAATTGTATTTTTCCCCCTTAGATGAAACAAATCGAGACGCGTGCTGCAAATGTTTTGTCTGTTCTACCGAGATTGCAAATATCTTTTTTGCACAGAACTCACTGTGCTTTTTGCACAGTTTCAAGTCGCTTATTAGAACTTAACCCCTGATTACACGCACCGAGGCGATTTAAATCTGATTATCAAATTAGGAGACTTTGAGACAAATCCTCTTAGATCTGATACTGTTGACTGGAGAGGGAAAATGGATCTCCACACCCGTCACGTAGGTAACGATGCTGTCCTGAAAGGGAGTTTTAAACCGTATTTGACAACAAATGCAGCTGCCCCGCTATTTCAGAAGATATTAAAGGAAAATGAATGCAAATCTGTGTGCAGGAGCCATCTGGACGTGGAGAGAGGGAGTCAGCTGCTCCACACACTGAGGCGCGGAGCCTGAATCCGTCTCAGCTCATTCTGTGGGATCATCTGCGTGGTGGGCTTACACCGTGGAAAATGCGCTCTCCATCATTAGGTGAAATGTTAGCATCAAAATAAAAGAAATGTTGATCCCCGTTTGTTTTAGTGGTTGCATGCATGAAAACTTTGCACGGGCGTGGAATTAGACCATCTCAGTCACATTTTCTTTTTATTACTCACCCCCTCCCCCACTCTCCTTAAGAAATTTTTTTTAAATCCACTTTTTTCAACAGCGTGCTAGAGGTAAGTGATGGGTGACAGAGAAGGGGAAACAATTGCAAACTATTTCATCTTGGCCGCATTAAGCCAGCCTGAATGCTCGTATAAATGACCGGCTGATAACACGGGGGCCCTGTTATCTCACTCTTTCTATTCAGTGATCACAATGAGTGAACCCCCAAAGATTTGGACCTGACCACTGATATAAAACCAAACTCCTCGGGACGCGTGGTTTCCACTCAAAAAAAAAAATGTTACAGGGTGACTTTAGAAGACCTCCCGTCTCGACGGGACGAGGGTGACGTCTTCTTTTTTGTGTGCGTGTGTCTATGTGTGTGTGTGTGTGTGTGTGTGAATTTACGGGGCGAGGCCCTCATGATCTCCTTAAATTTGCATGTAAATGGCGACATCAGCCTATACGCGTGCCAGGGGCCAGCGGGCCTCCCAGATGTCAAGGCAAAGTCAATCAGCCGGCCGCTGCCCAGCTGTCCATCGATGCACTTTATTGGGACAACACTTTCATTATGCTCACCTGCATTGTTTCCTAATGGATTGATTGGTAAAAAGCGAAGTGAAGGAAATTTTATTAGCACCCACCAAGCAAGTTTCCTCACGGCTTTATCGCAGAGGTTGTTTTAAAGTGATCTTTTTCCCCTTTCTCCTTCTTCTTCTTTTTTTCGATTAAATATTTATCAAGTACGCCCACAGTTAGGCATTATTCCAAATTCCATACGGAACAAATAGGCAATCAGCCCACTTACTGTTTACAGCTAACATCGCCTGTTCCGTTGTTTAGAGCTACAATATTTTGTGAAAATATTTGAAGTTGAAATTTAAGTTACACCGCGCAAAGAAAACTAATTTAGGGAGCTTCAGCCTACAGCCTTTGTTTAAAATTTCTGTCACTTGTAGCTGAATTAGAAAAGATTAACTCCAGCTGATGCTTGTGCGTTGACAATTTTCTCATGAGTAGGGAGGAAAAAAATACACATCACTTATATCAGTTTCCCCCATCAGTTTTAATTAAATTACCAAATAGCTTGATTCCGCATCACATATATATTAAAAAAAACCTTCAGTGCAAACTTTAGTTATTACAACTTATCGGCCTAATAAATGCACGCCTAAAATTCGATATCTCATATTAAAACATGGTTTTCACGATATTTTTTAATTATTGTAGTTAGAAAAAAAATCAAACGGCCAAGAGTGATGAGATCAATCATGAAGGCTGTTCGTGTCAAGTTGGAGCTAATAGACGGACAGCGCCCCTCGTTGGTTACACTTGAGATCATGGAGTCGATATGAGGCAGCTGTGTTGTTCAGTGACAAGATAGCAAAATCTCAAGTTTGGTTTATATGTAACTGCTTCCCCACTGCCCCACGAGCTACATTTTCTTTTTTCAAATTCAGGTACTATTTTAAAAAGCAACAGAATTATTTTTAAAATAATAAAAAAAAATAATATTATTTTTCTTTGTCATCTCGCACACTAGAATAAGAAAAAATAACAGATATTTGAAGGGCTAAAAAAATTAAGGAAAGAACGTTTTTTATGTATTATTATTATTATTATTATTATTATTATTATTATTATTATTTCAGATGTGTTTATTGTGTGTCTGAAATAAACATTATTTGACAATGTGCTGGTGTGACCTCACGTTTCGTCACTAACTTCTGTCAGAGTGTTCATGTTAATTGTGTGCAGTGGTGAGTTCTGTCAAGGGCATTGCCCGTGCGCACAATTTGCATTTCCATTCTGCTGTGGAAATGATGAGAGAGTTTCTGCGCGGTTTAGAGCCTCGCGGCGCAGTCTGTGGGCGAATTACATTTAAAGAAGGCGAGAGAAATTAAATAAGAAACCGAGACCACTTCAGGGCTATTAACATCTAAAATATCCCCTGGAAATTTAGACCAAAATACACATGACCAAATACCCAGGATACCTTCGCTCTTAACACAGCCCTGGTCTTGATTGTGTCCATCACTGTTTTGTAGGCCTATCTAAAATTCTTTATTTAAAAAAAAAAGTTATCACGCCGCCTCACATTTCTCAGTGGCGATGATGGAAGTGAGGCAAATTTGATTATTCAGCTCTAAATCGGAACATATTAACTTAATATATAGGCGCCCTACTGCCAAACAGACTGTGACACTCAGAAAAATGGGTGCAAAAATCCGACTTTAAAGGTCAGTTTAAAAAAAAAACCCTCATCAGTAAGTATGATGTGGGCACATGTTGCATCGGGGAAAGTGGCCTCCAAAAGAGGAGGCATCAGCTTTAACCTTGTTCCTTTTTTTTCTTATTTTTTTAGAGCGCCTGTGCATGCATGACCAAAGAGGCAGCAGCCTTTCCCTCAGTACTCCAGAGACCTTTAATTTGCCTGTTGACCCCAGGATGGAGGTGTTGCCAACTCACAGTGATACTACCTCACCCACAAGAGACTAATAATTCTCAAGTTACTTACATCAAAATATATATTTTCAACATGTTGCATCAGTGCCTCTAATTCGTTTTTCTCCTTTAGGGGCTGCCATTATAAAGGAGATACATATTTGATGGCAACTGGCAAGTCTACAAATGCATTTTGATTTTAGTCAGATTATTAATATCGGACTGTGTTACTATTAACAGAAATGTTAATTATGATGTCAAGACAGAGGGAGTCAAGGTGAAAGCTGCACAGCAATAGCTAAAAATAATCCATGCCAGCCAGAGTACAGTATGATCCTGCAGAGGAGTGTTACTGGCAAGGGACCTTTTTGCTGCAACAAAGAGGTGGAAAAGAGGAAGTAAATGAATTAGAGTACAAGCCAGATTTTGTCTTTGTTTCATCCACACTTGTCCTGTCCCTATTTTCCAACCTCTCCCTTTTCCTTGCTATTGGAAGTGCTGCAAATTGTATAATGCTGGTCTTTGTTCTACAGAGTCAAGCCACATGAATAGCCGTCCTGAGCACACACAAAAACACACTGACAAACTGATCATCTTAAAAAAGCAACGCCCTGGTGCTCACTTGGCCTACTTTCCACGGCAGCACTGGGACGTGGGAAGAGGAATAGAATTCAGGGGAGGATGTTCTTGCACTCTGGGAAACATTCAGTATAGCAAGTGTGATGCACATAAACATAGCCTTTGCATTGTCAACCTTAGACCGTATTTGCCCCAGATAACTAGTCCCCGTGTGCTAGACTATTCTCTTTGACTTTGCAATTGAAATCCTGAGAAGATTATGCCAAAGCTAAAAGAGGCAAACTCTGGGGTGGGATTTCAATTGTCAATTCCTGTTGGATTTTATAGCATTATGACATATAGTACACCATCTGTTACGCTTCCCGTGACTAGGTCTACATCTGCACAAGTGGAGCTTATTGATGTGAACATCAGTACAACTAAGACCTGGTTTTTGAATGGACAGCAATTTTCAATCACCGATATTTTTCTCCTGAATCCCGTTTAACACAGATGTATGACTAAGTAGCGGGGTCTCTAGCTTACAAAACACCAGAGCAAATTAAAAAGGTGCAGGAAAGTAACCACTCCTAACTTTAGCTAAACAGACTTCCTGGAGCGCTAGATAATCTGGGGCTTCTATGTACACCGCCTAACCAAATGTCGACATCTGTGAGGGTGTGCATAAAGAAAAGCTCCTCAGAGAAACGGGGGATAATAATCTTAGTTCCCCTCACCTTCAGCTTGCCCATAGGGGTTTAAAAGGGAGATGAAGAAATCCTATGTAAACATGCCAAGTCAAATTTTCACTTGAAATGTGACATAAAGGCAAAGGGCAACCTTGGTGCATCGCTAATGTGCTTCCACGCATGAGTTTTCCAGTGCCCCTGGATGTAAACAATTGATGTATTCAGTCTGTGGTTTGAACACTGACTCACTGTGCACACTTAATATGTTTGAGCATCTTCTTAGCCATCACTGTACATTTAGTGCATAGGTGAAGAGCCCAAAAGAAGTCAACACAAAGCCTGTACACAATCAGAATCTCTGTACTCAATAGCTGCATGAAAGTGAGTTTTGCTCTCCTGAGAAACATACAAAGTTTGAGCATCTGTTCCATCATGTAGTCTTTGTTGAGAAATTAAATATTGAACTGATCTAGTGTACCATGAATGTTTCACTCACATAGTGATTAGACAGACTGGAGAGGCAAGACATCGCAGCACTTTACTCTCTACTTTCATATACTGTATTTGTTGGTCTTGCCTTTAAGTGTTTCACGCGCCAGATTGTGTTGTTGTTATGGAAAATGTTTTTTAATGTTGCGTCAATTATACTTAGCATGCATGTGTAACTCGACACAAAAGTAAATTCATATGCATGTATGTGCACAAACGCAATCATCCTCAGTCTGATAATTGCTGTATAGTGTAGTCCAGCTGAAGCAATATAATTGGAAAAAAGAGAAAAACATAAATTAGAGTTTTGGTTTTATGATTCAATTATGAACTTGGCAGCATCTGTTTTTTCATACTTTTATGTTATTGTGAATATGGAGAAAATACTGATTGGTTTTCTTGTCGCATCTCAGAATAAAGGGCGTCTCTTTTATAGTTTCTCATCCCTTACTCCAAATCAACAATTGTCTCTCGGGAGAGTCCCAAATGATGTTTCCTGACATAAACATTTTGGATTATAATGAGCAGACCAAGCCAACGTGCAAGCAGGAGAAGGAAACAGTATCATCACAGAGATCATAAAATGGTGTCGTGAGTAGTCTTTTGTCCAGGACCATAGGAGAGTTCTGTTGCTAAAGGGAAGGACAAAAGCAGAAGGCGCCACGGGTATAAGGTTCCCCTGAGCAACAATACTGAAAGTTTCAACTTGCAGCACATGGGTGTAACTTTAACTGGAATACTGTGGATCAAAGACTCACAAACAAAGTGGGTGGAAATGCTGAAGGAGTGTCTGTGCTCAAGTGAAGGACAGGTTCACTAGAGAGAAAGCGGGAGCGACAATTTCTGAAACACAGACCAGGCAATCAAGGCTAATTACCGAGCCCGTGTTTTGTGAACTCAAAGGGCAGCATGATTCAATTAACAAAACCGATGTGTATTATAATTCTGAAAAGCAAAATTACCTCTGTCGACAACACGCTTATCAGATATAAAACAAAAGCAAATTCAAATTAAACTGAACAGTTTCAAATGTGTTGCTGCTTCGTGCGCTTTAATAAGGAAGAGTGCACACAGTCGATTTTGTATTGCATCTCAAACATTCATTCCGCACTCTTGTCTTCACCTGTCATCTTTTAGAGAGTGGGAGAATTATTCAGTTCTGCTTCTTTAAATAAAAAACACAGCCTTGAAATTTGTGAGGCTTAAGGCAATTCATCAGGTTAGATCAGTACAATGTGGATGTGTAACCTTTACACTGCACTGGAACCTGCACATACAAGTGTTATGAAAGGTCCCCGTGGCACTCTGCTCTTCTGACATGGATTTGAAGACTTGCCACTTTATTAGCTGCTAAGCCCCCACTACTTGTTCTATATAGTGGAGGCCTATGTTATGAGCTGGGATCTCATTGTCTAGCGTTATTAGAGGTAGAGTCTGCAGCGCTCTCTTGTCTCCCCTCGAGAGTAGCCTGACTATTTGAAAGGAAGCTACAAGTGCAATTTAACCCATCTTATTTACAATACGATCTCTTACAAGGACATCATCGCAGCAAGGATTCACATATAATACATCTCTACAATGTGCTTCTTTCCTGTTTTGATTGTTTCAGGGGAGTTGTTTGACGCTCAATTGAGCCCTAAGAAGAAAAAAAATCTCTGAATGTGTCAAGTTAGAGCAGACACAAACTTTAGTCAACAACACTAGTCCGGTTTTGTATTTTTCAAAAATACTTCACATAAGATTTATGCACAACAACAAGTGTTTTCTGCTTAAAGGTCAAAAGAGTTAATAAATAAAAAAGAGTGGGTATGGGGTTCTTAATGATAGCATTAACATCGTGTCTGGGAAAACAAGCTGTTTGTGATCATCACTTTTGTCACCAACGCACACGCACACACACACCCTCCAAAATGGAAATGATCTGTTGGCACTGAATAATAAGTGCCATAGTGCCATCTAGTGCACAAATTTGCACACTGAAGAATGACAGTCCCTGTATGTAAAACATACACTACATACTGCAGCGTACATGCAAAGGTACAGGGCTTGAGGGCTACTTGTGATTATGATAAAGGATGGTGTACTGTTTTCACTGATCGCTTGTGTGCTTCAGTGTGAGTTTCAGCTACACTAAATGACCACACTGAAAATTTCCACTCATAGGGGAAATAAACAAGGAGACAAAGGTTTGTCTTAGAAGCCAGGTCTTTGACAACCCGCGGCTGTGGCAAGCCGCAAGGATAATCTCCTTCAGACAATGAGACGATGTTGAAGGCTGTGCATGCAAATTATACTCTGCCATCTAAATTACAAAGACATACACAGACCTCAAGTCATCAGGCCTCATATCTCACTCATCTGGCCTCCTGGCTGTTAGGTTGCCAGAGGATACTATAGAGACAACAGAACAGAAATAATAAGAAAAAACACATGAGCCAAAACAAGAGTCTTGAATAATTGATTGTGTTTGTCTTTTGCTGTTTGTGTGTGAGAGTGTGTGTTTGAGTGAGAGCGAGAGTGTGTGTGTGTGTGTGTTAGGACTCAGGGTCTGGACAGAGCTTATGCCCCTGAGCAGAGCAGACACATCCACTGGCCAATGGTTTGTGTTAAAAACTGTCTGATTGACCAAATGTGGGGGAAGGGTATGTTTGTGCGTGCCGGGCAAAAATGAATGTGCATGGGTATTTATGTTCATGACTGTGTGTGTAAATTCAAAGAGAAATAGGTGAGGATAGTAGCTGCGATGTGTGTGATTTTTGGCAAACTAAACCTGGGCATGATTAGCTCATGTTGAAATCAGCGCTGGTTTTGTATTCAGTAACATGGGAATAAGATGAAGTAAAGATTTCCAGGATAACAAACGCTTTTTGTTAAACGGGCCAGGAATAGGTGTGTTGTAAGATGTTAAAAAGTCAATATACCTTCATTTTGTCTGTGCTGGTAATGAGCCATATTTTCTGGGGAAAATGGCTGCTTCTCCGGAGGCACCATGTCTACTGAATGTGGCCCTGATCCTGGATAAAACAGAAGGCTCACCAATCAATCTCTCCAGGTTGCCCACAGCCAGAGAAAGCAGCTGCACCACATGTTTGCCTTGCGCGATAGCGACAAGTTAACATACGGGCAGCACAGTAACCATCCACAAGCAGCCTCTAGCTGTCTTATAATGAATTCCCACAGGGATGGGGAACTATCAGAGTCAGTGGTGTTACTGGAGGCTCGGAATAAAGTCAACACCTCTCCTTATACCTGATGAAGCTACGGCACGGCAGCACACTCACACACATAGTCACAGCCACAGCGCTCGACTCGTACAAACGTGAATATTTCGAATGCACACAACGATTAAGCTGTACGGTTTATTAAATCATAAATTTGGCTGCATTCGGGCATTACATGTTCACGCAATGATGGTGAACAGAAACTGCTTGCTTTTAATAATGCAGTCTTATCGGGACAGCAGTTTTGTTTAATTCAATGTATAACACGTTATAAAGAGACATTTTAAATTAACGAAAAATCGCCATTCAGCATTTTCTTTAATTTTTTAAAAGCCCTATTTTTCATTCTGATTTGGACATCAGTGTGGCTTCTACACCCACACACCTACTGCTTTCAAATCATGATGTGTTTGTACTGTATTCACAAAGTAATGACTGACACAGTGGTCCACTTAGTCAAACATTTAAGCAATCAAAGTACAAAACACAACAAACCCATTTGGTGCACAGGGCTCGACACATAGAAGTCAAGGGTGTTTTAAAAGGTTTAAGCGGTTGTTAAAATAATGATGGTTTTATGAAACACTGGTGGACCATCTTTTGTTAATTTAAAGCTAAATGCCCTCACATCTACTAACTGCAAATGAGATCAATACACAAGCTGGTGCTGTAGAGTTTCTCTGGTAAACTGACATTAGTCAACTGCATTTCAGACAGCACTTTCAGAAAATGCATAAATTACACCCATTATGTATTCATGTGTGGACAACACTTGGTGTGGAATAATGTTAAACTGAGTGAGCAAGAAAAGTGCAATGCAGTCCATGTAGATAGATAGATAGATAGATAGATAGATAGATAGATAGATAGATAGATAGATAGATAGATAGATAGATAGATAGATAGATAGATAGATAGA